TGAATGGCGGTTCATGCAGGGAAAGAACATATCAATATTCGCATATTCATTCAAAAACATGAAAATTCTTAATGGAGTACCCTCATTTTTTATTGAATTCCTAAAAACCAATATTTATAATGAATTTTAATAATTTTTTCGGATTGTTTTGAAGCTTTATTCTGACCGATTCACCCGATTCCGATCCGGATCGCCGATTCGCCGATCCGGATCGCCGATTCGCCGATCCGGATCGATTTTTGAAAAGCCCGATCCGGGTCACCGATCCGGTTTTTAAACCATTGGTCTAACCTATCACATTATAAATGATATAAAGACGAATTCTTTTCAAAATTATTAACTAGGAAAGATAGTACATCAGATTTTTGGAAAGAAAAATTTATAGCATGATTACCACATTTATTTGCTGAAAAAATAAAAACTAGACTAAAAAATAAACATGGAGGAACTATTCCATACTCTGCATACACCTTAGGAGAATTATCTGCTGAAATATGTACAGAAAGCCTCGCCTGTGTACAGACATGAAATTGAAAAAACAATTAGACAAACAAAATATGACAGGCAAAAAAGAATTAAGAGACTTTTGCGAACAATTTGGTTATCATGTTAATCTAAATGAAAAATCACATAAAAAGAAGAAATATCAGAAATATGCAAACCCAAAACCTTTTAGGGTAAGAAAGTCTAAAAAGAAAGATAAGTTTATAAAAAAAATTTTGCCGAAAAATAAATCTAAAGGCAAATCAGGTAAAAGAAAAATACCCATATGCTTTAAATGTGAAAAAGTAGGACATTATAAAAGTAATTGTAGAGTAAAACAAAAATTGAATAACATAATCTTAGATGAAAAAATAAGAAATCAAATATAGGAAATAATTTCATTAGATATCTCTTATACTAGTAGTAGTAGTTCTAATAGTGATACATCTGATTCTTATTTCATAGGGTTTATAGGTGATGATCACCTAACTATAACAAGTTCAGAAGAAGATAATAGTTGTTCTTGTAATGTTTTAACCAATGAAGATAATCTAATATTAGATTTAATAGAGAAAATTACAAACCCAGAGGAGAAAAGGAAAATCATTACTCAATTCATTAATATAACTAAATCAAAGAATAAGCCCACTAATATCCTCAAAAGCCCTAATGAATATAATTTCTCTGATATAGTAAAAAGAATAAGTACCAGAGATATGAATAATAGAGAACCTCAATAGAAGACCCCATCAAAATTGCTAAAATATATCTGTACAATAATCTTAATCCATCATGTGGATTAAAAACAAGAGAATGGAGTGAGAGCATCTTGTTAGAGACAGGATCAATATCTTTAATACATTATAATATAAAAAATTCAGCTGCAATTGCTTATTCAAAATTATAGATCAGAAAAATCCTGAAGTATAGTGATTGGGGATCAGAACCTTTGAGGACTAAAAAATTGAAAGCCCCAAGCATCCCAAATAAAAGCTTTACTTATTCTGATTATATTGATGCCTGGCATCGTGTCTTATCAGTCCAAAACGAGTATTATTCACACACTTGGTTCTTCCAGTTCAAATTACCAATACATGACCCATTCCCTAATTGGTTTATTAATTAGTTTGCTATATGGGGATCTATCCCCAAAATCCTGCCTGAACCACTGAGCAAATCCCAAGAAAAATTTATCATATATAATGAAAATAGGCCAGAAATCGATTATCATCTATACTTCATGGCATGTTATCAAATCCCTTGGATAGTTAAATGGAAATTTGCAATATCTGAACCAGTATTTCAAAATTATGAAGACATCCCTACCATAGGAAAACAGATTGCTGTCAAATGGTGGGATATATATGTTTATGAGAACCTGAAGCCAGAAAAGATAAAGTTATATAAAATTCCAGAAGAACAGATGCCAGTCTCAATGGATGATCCATCCCAATTAAGAGAATACATTAAACAGATGAAAAAGAAAAATTTAACAGCTACTAGAAAGGAATTGGAAAAAGAATTATATAAGTTATTTGAAGAAGAAGCTGTTGAAACCAATCAAAATGAAGAAAATGAAGAAATGGCAATGGTAAGCAGAGAAGAAGATGAAGATGAAGACATGTCAGCACATGGGTTTTCTCAGAAACAAAGCATATACTAAGACCCGAGACCCGAAACTCTGGCCCAAAAGAATCTTGGCCAATACCAGCTGTCAACCCTAAACAGTGGCCGACAAAACCTATCAGACACCTGTCCCACTTATAATCACTTTTGCACACCTGTCCTTTACTTTTGCACACCTGTTCTTTACTGTAGCAGCCACTTATCCTACTTTTCACCGTAGCAGACACCTTATCCTACTTTTTCCTATGCTATCGACAGTACGCTAACACCTCAACCACACAACTGTCCTCCTTTTATAAAAGGAATATGCTATCTATCCATCACCACCCACCTGTCCCGGAACCCAAATAAAATTATAAAGTACTTCAACCTCATGCCTATAAGAAGGAAAGCCCTATGCCTGAAGAAGCAAGCGAAGAATGAGCTGAATCCTCTGCTCTCTCTTTTCTCTCTCTCTCTCTCTCTCTCTCTTTTCAAGAAAAGTGTTTCATGAATGGTTTGTAAGTAAGTTGTAAGATAGTCTGAGTGGTTTGAGTAAGTTGTGAATACACATGTGTGACTGTAATTGGGAAATCTTCCAGATTATTATCCAGCTGAGTGGAAACTCTTTTGTAGTTATTGCTAGTGTCATTTGTAAGTATCTCTTGGCTTTTATGTATTTAGTTTGAAATATATTTGGTTTTGCTTTATGAAATGCAAATTCTTACTGTGTTAAGTACAAAAGTATATCAGGCGATATACTCTACATGGCTATTAATTGATGTTTCTCCTGTATCTATAGGACTGTTAGTAATATTTTTTATCTATCTCAGTTATGTACGATTAGTTTAATATTGTTTATCTATCTCAGTTGTGTACGATTAGTTTGATTAAATTGATTAAATTATAGATCTTGGTGAAATTGGTATCAGAGCCAGATTAAAATCTAGGACTAGTCTGCTTAATTTTTAAACATTAAGACCAGCAAGATCAAGATAATATTTTATTAGTTTAGAACCTATTTAAATTCTCCATTAAAGAAAGTTGGTCCGAGCCTTGAAGCTGTTGGTACCCAGTCATAGTGACCATCTAGGCCAAGAGAGTCGTCCAGGTCCACAGGACGTAAGAGGTTGACCTAAAGGCATTCATCTGCAACCTAATAATGGAAAATTTAGTTAGAAACTGTTCTAATAAAACATTAGCTTCAACTAGTAAGAGCATTCTAAGGATTAAAAAAGAAGAAGAGATAGTAATAGATGACATCGAGAAACAAATACAAAACTGGAACATACTCAAAGTTCCAATTACAGATGTCTATAAAAAAGGAACATTTGATTTAAAAATAGGATATGCAATAAAAACTATTGAAGAAAGTTTATCAGTGACAAGTAATCAAGAAGATTTCCAATTATTATCTAATAAAACTATTCAAGATCATAAAACTAAAAGATATAAATATCTACATATCAGATTAATCCAGATAGGTATTAAACCTTTA